TCGGGGAAAGAAATCGATTCAATCACCCGAGGAGGATCCCTTGGTTTGAGGTTTTCCCTGATAGATACGTACGTGCCGTTAAGCTTTTCGGTACATCGGCCCAATGGTATTCAGTGAACGACGTTATGTGATACAGCTTGATACAGCAGCCCGCTTTCGAAGATTCTTTCCAAGGTTGTCCCGATAATAGACATGGAGATCTATACCAGATACCGGCTCGCGAGAAGACTACCTGGATGTGATTCCTCAAGGAACTCTCCCAGAGAGTAAAGCAGGTCAGTATTCTTGCAAATCGTAGTCAATCAATGATTATCTCCCTCCAATGCATTATCAAACAAAGCAGAAACTCTATCGCGACGCCACAAAACTCTACTTCAAGGTTTGTGGTGGGAGAAGCAGAGGTGGGTCAAGATTATCCTATAGACTGGGATCGTTCGATCCATTTCAAAAAGAAGAGGTAGAATGATGAACTAGAAGTGACTTTCGTGATAAAGAGGAATATCAAACTTTCTTTCTTACGACGTTAGTCTTCTCCCGCATCGTTGAATCACTCATCGGACGATTCTTGGCTTGATCCCTGGGTATTACTGGGTTAACGTGTATATTTACTTGAGACACTCGGTTCCAAGACGTAAAAACACCACATGCTGGGCATGTCATAGAATGGTATAATATAATACTCCACGGCTCGGGATTAGGAATGGTCAGATGGTACATACGAAACGCCCCCCAACAATTCGAAACATAACCACTCCCGCGAACCAAATGTGATGAGAGCTCCTCTCGGCGAGGATGTCAACCTACACGGAAATGAATCTCTTAGATCTCGCCGAGGACGAAAGCGGGAAGGAAAAATCTGGGGTACTCTATCGGCGCAATACAGTGGATCTGGCAAGTGACCGAGGGTCATGCGGAAGGACATTGCGAGATCATCCCCAACGATCCGTGAGGATGGAGCATCAGGAACACGTCACTGATCCGTGAGCAAATGTTTGAGTTCGAATCATGTGAACCTTATTTTGTGTACGTGAAGTTTGGCTTTGTGGGTCCACTAGGCCTGAGTGCACGGTCAGTGTCACGGTCGTGCCTCATGATGACATTTGGTATCCACCTTATTCCGATGAATAGCTATAACGGAAGTAGTGAGGAGATGACCTCAGATGATGAACCCATATCCTGCGAACAGCACAATGGATAATGCAATTGCTGATCCAGACCTTCATTTATTCGAGCCGCAATGCAGTCAGGGTGTTTTGAATGATGGCAATTCTAAGAACGTCTCCGAACTCTGATACGTCAGGGCAGCGATTAATTTTGGCCTTTCAAACTTGCCCGGTAAAATAGCCGTGTTCTCCTGGAGCTTCCTTTTCGTCCAAACCTGCGTAGCAGAAGATTAGCGGCATTTGACATTATGCATTTGTTCTGAGAAAACCCGATGAATCTGAGATTAAGATCAAGACCTAAGATAGTCAGGGCTCGTCTTCATCTTAAGATCTTATGCAGGGGAGAGAACTATATTTATATTACTGTAAAACGATTCGAAGCTGTCAATTACCAGCATACGTACCCAGAAATAACTACTCACTTCACCCTATATCACCATGTCTGCCTACCCATTCGACACCTCTCTATTCTTGCGCGACGGCGATATGTTGGTTGGTCAAGCTTCGAGGCAAGATGACGGGAGTTATCTTGTACAATACGACGATCCGAAACATATCCCAACTAAATTTCTGTACCGGGACTTCGAAGTCGTGTGGTACATCAAGCCTAGAGCGGAAATTTCTACTATCGTGAATGTTGATTTGTAAGTACTGTTAGTGATGATAGAACATACCCGATGCTTACTCCTTTGAAGCTCAGCGAGACTACACCCGTGTGGGGATGAAATCGGAATCCAGACCCTTCAATCCCTTGACGAGATTCCGATATGTAACGGGCCTTCTTACATAGCCGTCACAGTACGATATCGTCCCGAGACATTGTGAATGCCCCTTCAATAACATGCTTTACGTAGGTCAAAGAAGGTCTCGTTGTAATCTGTGCAGTAAAGAGCGAAGAAGCATTCAAAATCTACATGCGGCTTGTTACACGGGTAGACAGGTATCGACCAAGTGTCAAGTCTCTATCATCAAGAGAATCGCCTGCCAATCCACTATTCCTGCGAGAGATGATACTAGTACTCTCTACTGGCGTAGAGGAGTTTATCTACGGCAGGCCAAGAAGATTACACCATAATGTATGTTTAGTAACACGGTATTGCCAATATACTCACCCGATGATGGAAACTTGCTATTATCATAGACATCCCTTGAGCATCTAGGTGTTGTGACCTATCTGGAATACCCTGTACCATCGCAATCGGTTTCATTGATGCCTGTCGCTTCTGCATCCCCACTTCAAGAGGCCAAGGGGGAGGAGCGGGTAAAACCACTCTCCCTCCTGTCGGAGTCCAAGACTCCATCCATGGAGACCACATCCTCTTGTGTATCCATGGATGAAGTTCAGTCTCAGACAGGAGACAAGGCGGTTCAGCAGATGTCATGCGAGTCTACAAAGGCAAGGCCACATAGAAAAAAGGAACCAAATGAGGAACGACAGAATAAGGGGAAACACGGGCCTACTGTCAATACCACACTTCCCCTCGTGGAAGTCCCATCATCGTCCGTTGATAAGCGACCGGAACGCGCTCGTACGAAAAAGCGCAAATATACTGAAACTGACCTCGATGACGACGACGTGTCCGAGTACCATCCTTCAGATAACGACGAGACCAAGGAGTCCGGACGTAAACGACGCAGGGTAAAAACAACGGACATTGACGGGAAGGGTAAGAAGAGGCCATTTCATCCCTCTGTTTGTCCGGCGTACCAATTAGGGTGCACTGCACTCATGAAGAGGGATTCGGATTCGTTGCGCCACTTCCAGTCCTCATGCAAATTCAACGACAGGCTGGTAGAGGGTGCAGATCCCATTGTGAAGATTGGGGACGAAGGATGGGAAAAGATCTCGCTCGGCGGCAAGTCCTTCTATTTACCTATCTTGAATCTGAAACAATACAGAGAATGTGTATTGGAGAGGGTCGGCCCGCGCTGTATCTGCGGAAAGGAGTTCAAGAGGAAGGATGCCGTCCGAAGACATCAGGCTAAATGTGCCAAGGCTCATACGCAAGGTGGCGGCAGGAGAAGGAGAAAGTCTGGGACTCGTCGCTCCGTATAACTATCGTGTGGTCATCTGAACTATAATTTATTGTATTTATTTGTAGTATTAGTTATCTGATAGAAAAGGAATTGTACTGCTGTAAGCATACCGCTGATGTTGTGCTGGTGGTGGTGGTAAGAGGGAAAGAGACGTTGTATGACCGTTATCGATACGAGGCGTATTTGAGCGATTCAACACCATTCATTCACATCATTGATCCAGGTGGCGGCATCTTCCGGGCGACCCGTGCGGTCCGCTTACATCTCTCACCACAACCACCACTTGACTAGCATGGAACATAATCTCTGGGAGTGTACCATGTCCCTTGATTCAACAACGACTGTGCCCGAAGGCTCTCCGTCTGCATCAGGCTCTAACTCTACATCTTTGCTGTCGTTTCCAGCGCCCACCGTCCCTGAAGTCCCTCTCGCTCCTCCAGTCAGTCAACCGAGATCGCTTTTAAAGGACAGGCTCTATGTTGGCAACTTACATCCCACCGTTGACGAGTATGTTCACATTCCCCCCTGGACGTATCTGTCTACTGACCGAAACCACAGATACACGTTGCTCCAGGTATTCTCCAAGTACGGCAAAATCTCCAAGTTGGACTTCCTGTTCCACAAAACCGGTCCCATGAAAGGCAAACCGCGGGGCTATGCATTTGTCGAATTCGCCGACTCCAGTGTAAGTGTTTGCATGTTATACGCTATCTTTTCCATGCTTATCCTGGCGTACTTTCGCACACACTCGATTGTCACTTGCCTGCCCACGATCCCGTTGCGTCTCTCAGATCTCTGAGCATTAAGGCTTGCTCCGCTCGACTATTGAAGGCTAGTTGGTCTAACTCCTCGCTCGTTCTCACAGGATGCTGCAAAGGCGCTGGTATCTGCCAATGACAAACTATTGCGAGGGCGTAAGATTGTCGTTACTTACGCCCATCAAGCACCGACTGAAGACTATGCCATGGGCAGCGCTTCACGATCAAGACGGACGATGACCGATGCAGGCAAACCTACCACACTAAGCTTGCTCAAAAGTACTGGGGGTAATCGCTCGGCGTAAGTATTATAGACCGGCAGGTTGCAATCCATTTCTGATGTTTGGCCGTATTTAGTACCGAGGACAAGATTGCGAAAATGGAAGCCAAACTTCGTCAGCTTGGGAAATCGGCCCCGGAATCCTCACTACACCCTTCGCTTCCACCGAAACCTGCAAACGTTTCTACTTCAGTGTCCAATACGTTGTCATCAAAAGCCGGGAGGAGTGAACGACAGGCACATCGACCCACAACATCACTGCCGTCTTTCCCCATTCCGAATTCACAATCCGCGAAACCTTCGACGGGACTACGTTTGGCCCCTTCTACCTCTACAGGTACATCTTCCGTGCCACGTAGAGGAGCATCAATCACCGGAATTAAGATTTGCAAACCAAAATCGAAGAATCCTTGATATGCGGTTATCCCTGTAAGCCAAGTCCAATCATTTCCAGACTTTTGAGCTAATATCACGCTTGTTAGATTCACGTTATCACCTTTATGTTTCGTACCCTCTCAGGTTTCTTGGATGCCTTTGTATTATCTTGTATATCCCTCCCGAGTCCCGACCAACGCTACCGTAATATAATATTGCTCGTATGAAACAAGCTGTAATTGATTGCTTATGAGCGTTCTCAATTCAATCATGGAGAAACTAAGCACCATATTGATTCAATCCTTTTCCAGAACGGACAGAAACTACAACTCGAACATTTCCTCAAAGCGGCATGGCCAGAAGCTTCTGGACTATAACCTTACTAACGCTGCCTTGGCGCAATGGTAGCGCGTCGCCCTCCTAAGGCGAAGGTTGCGGGTTCGAATCCCGTTGGTAGTATCGGGTTAACATTTTTGCTCTTGTTGACGACGAGAGGATGCAGACGACCAGCCGGTCAGCTCAATATCAAACGAATGGCCTTCTCACAAGACCCGGGACGATGTCCTTCAGAAAGAGCATACAAGATGGAATAACGTATCTTATTGTGAAAGTATTAATACACGTCGTGCAATCAGTGCGTATCATATGGAGGAGACAACGTTACTTCTCGAGTTGGCTGTCTAAATAATGACGAAGCTTCGCCAGGACGTCTAATCTTATTTCTTCAGGGACTTCGGCTAACAGGAATGCACATTCGTTATCCATCTATAGACAATGTCCCATAAATAGAGGATACTCACCGATAGCCGTACTTCTGACATCCTCGGTTATATCCTGCACAGCGATGGGGTACTTACTCCTTGCAAGTTCTGTACACATCGTGAGTTACATGTATTATGAAAGTGGGTAGAGCGCACACACCCTTCGCCTGATCATGAAGTCTGTCAGCCCATCCTGACTCGTTCAACTTTGAATGAAGGAGACGGGATATCCTGGATTAATTCGGCAGTCAATGCTTGTCTCTGTATTTCAAAATACCTCAGCTTCAAACATACCTATCCCATTCTCCACTTTCTACGAGTCTGCGCTGGACCTCGGCGTGCATTTCGGCTGAAACAGAGCTGCCATTGATTTCACGTGAAGGCATCCTCACATGGACCACGAAGCTGAATGGCGAACGCGGCTCTGTTCAGTGTTCAACGTTCAACGTTCACTTGTGAACGTGAACGAAGTGTGGCAAACACAGCCTAAGCTGGCGAAAGGGGGCGATGATCGAGTTGTGATCGGGCGGCGTTAGTCATTAGTGGCCACGAATGGCAAGTGTAGTGGTAGCGATATTTTTTTCCTTTCTTATTTGTACCCAAAACACGTATTAAATGTTGAAATAGCAAATTGATACGCATTTTTGGAAGGGTTATTTTACACATTACAACGCTATGTACGAGAAACATTTCATGCGATACCCCAGTTGATCAATCGACTACTATGACTGCCATACTGGGAGAAACTTTTGGGCGTTTCCGAGAGTCGAAGTCCGTCTGAAGTTGTGAGTCATACTTTCGTAAGGCTGCATCTCCTTACTATGATCTGACAGAATCGAACGTCACCAAGTATGCAGAAGTATCGTGAAATGCACTAGTCTAGGCACTCCTACCGCATGTCCGAGTGGCTCAATGCACAAGGGTGACAGGGTGGCTCACTAAAACGAGGCACCGTGGGCTACTTGACATTCGATAAGCTCACATCGGGGACAACCTCGGGGAACTATAGGACATAATACTGTGAGACTCTTACCCTCAAATAGCAGCACATTCAACTACGGCGGGACAGGGTGAGGCTCTATCGTTCTTTCGATATCACACCGTTTTGCCTCATGACGCGTTAGATCAACATATTACTATATATAGCACAAAGAACAAAGGAAAAGTGCGGCCAAAAGTCTCAAGGTGAGCATTACATATGATAGAATCACAATCGAATACAGCGCAAGATCTACTCGTGGAGGTATAAATTCTGACGTCCATTCATGTAGAACCTACGTCCTTCTCCCCTCCCGTACTCCCTATACTATCCACTCAATGATCCCTAAGCAAACATGGCGAGTTTGAGCCACGAGAATGTGTCCTCCTCGCATGGTGGGAGAGCAACCACAGACATCAGAGGTGTTGCCCATGCGACACCTTCGACACCTCTCCTTTCGGTCTTGAGTGACTGGTCAGGTGACACATTCACGTGAGTCCGCTCGATGTTCCCCTCCTGCTCGCCACTGGATGGGGCGGTGAGGGTGTCCGCCGGTAATTGTTCTTTCGGAACGATGGCGGAGAGTAGTAAACTGTCCTTTAGAGAAATGTAGCCGCCCTCGAGGCGGGTTGAGAGATGTTCAAAATGATACAATAATGACTCGACGTCCTCGAGACTTGAGAGACTCTGATTTGTCTCAAGTCCATCATCTTCCAACTTAACTTGCGGTGAGTTAATGTTCCAACTTAGTAGCTGTATCCAAACTAACCTCGGAGAGTGAAAGGCTTGATGAATTTGAGTCAGATAGGGCGGGTGTACTGGGCGAGCCCTCAGGATTGGTGCCACCGGAAAGGCCACTCCCAATGGCATCGGTATTATTTGCATTTGTCTACACATGAAGTGAGTCAAGACAATACTGTATAATATGAGCTAACGTACCCAAAAACCTTTCTCATTTGAGAAGTAAACCACGTCGAGACCTTGACATTCATACAACCCCTTCATCTCGTGGGTGGATGTGGTGTTGAGCTCGGCGAAAAACGCGTTAGACATCTTCAAATGAAAGAATATGTGTCAAGTAAGTGTGTTGGAATGTGGTTATACGTGTAATCTGCTCTGCGCTAGCAAAGGTGATGATGTTTGTGTGCAAAGTGGAACAAAGGGTTGTTGGAACGGTTGAAGGAAATCTTGAAGACAGACGCCGGGTTCACTCCTGTGCCATTCTTGCAGCGTGTTTCCGTGCATCCCCCTCCTCTGTTTTGCTGATATAATCTTCCCATCCGCCAATGCCACTTTCCAGACAAGCTCTTTGTTCACCAAACTAGGATGTCTGACCTAATAATATATCTTTTCGAGTATAGCATAATACACTGATACTCAGAACACGAACACAAACACAGCAATATCGAGCGACCGTATACCCATCCCAGTATTGAGCTTTGCTCACTAGGTGACCTACTATACGCCTGGGCGATGTACTGTCATTACTTCGAAATCCGGTCTGTGGCCCACACCGATGTTATTTGACTGTCTCCCCTCTCTCGACGTTCATGCATTTCTGCATGTGGTTTACAACGGGGAATTGATTGGAATGAAGTACTACGGACTGATAGATACTGTTGTCGGTCGATAAACCAAACATGGAGTTTCGGTGGCGGCTGTCTGCTCCCTAGAATACTCGGACGAGAGGCTGACAGCACCTTCGGGTGGACCAATAACGCCCACCACTCAGCCGCAACGTACATCCATAGCATGCCAATCCTATAGCTGGTACACGCTACTATCCACACCTTCTTATACCACAGAACTCCTCATACCAACGGCGTCATATCAACCAGTCCTCAGTAACTGCGAAGGGAAGGATAACCATCCTCAATGGAGCCATATATATCAGAGCTCGAAGGATTCTATGCCTTTTGTATTCCTGGGCAACGAAACGCAGGGAGAGAGACAAGTAACGCAGTCGAAGAGGAGATTGTTCGACGAGTCAGGATATGCAGAGCTCAAAGAATGGTATGTTGTTTATCAATAGTCGCGGGTACTAGTCGCTAACACCGTATACATTTTGATACAGGCCATGCTCGACCCAGATAGTCCTCTCCGACTCCTAGAGAATGCAGCCCTCCGTACCGACACAGAATCCACAAAGACTGCTCTGATGGAATGCCTCCACCAGTATAGAGCCACGCTTCGTACCAGTAACGCCTTGGTTGAGCGACCGGCGAAGTCGAGTTCGGACCACCCGATACATATGTCTCGTAGGCATCGGCGCCGACGAGATGAGGTGGCTCTTGTTACTAAGGTCTTCAATTCGTGTTATGCCGCGTACAGAGAAAGAGAGCTTCCGGCGGAAATATGTAGGGACAAGTGTTGTAGAAAGTTGATATAATTGACCGATGAATAGGAACACCAATTGGATTACTCGCGGTACATGTATCACGACAAATGACAAGCACAGTATTGAACGGTCCAAAGTATGGATTGTATCGTGCAGTCCCCGGCCATTCGTCATAGCACTCAGGTCCAAAGAGGGATGATGCTAAGCATGAATACAACTTGAAGGAGCCTCGTCATCCAGGATGGCTGGAACTAGCGAGAATTCTACCCAGCTGAGAGACGATATATGACGCGACGTCAACTCGAGGCGGTCAATGGACGTTGCACTAGAGAGGTGCCACTCGACAATGGGTTCGGCAACCTCCGCACCAATTATGAACAGACCGTCTGCTCGTCCATCCTCTTTATTCTCTTTCTTAAGAGCACTCTAGCACCCACCCTCTCGTTGATAATACCTTCAAAGTGTTAACAACACTCACAAATTCACTCCACAACGATATGGATGCCGACAGCTTGCTTGAGAGTCCCCGCAATAGTAACTTGAAATATATTGCCGGACAAGGTTCAAAACACGCTTGTCAAACGGTCAAAGAGACGAAAACGCGTCAATTAGTACGTCCGGACAGACGTATTCTATGAAAGGATATTGATCATAGAGATAGAAACGCGTCGGATTACCTGAAAAGCTCTTGGTTAAACGTGTTGATAGACATTATTGACGGTGAAGACATTGGCACTTACGACTTCAGCGACTTGGCACCCACACCAGTGTATGCATCCTTGAATGCCTCCCTGACTTATTCCAAACCGCATCTCCAGGATGAGAGCAGACCTCCGTTCCTCGACTTACAATGTAAACCCGAGGGAAATGAATTCGCCTCTTCTACGCCCTCCCATATACCGGGGTCATGGTATGTAGACACGTCCTATGACGGTCAGTTCGTCGACAGCTAACCGGTTTCATACAGGCATACCATTAGCTCCTACTGTTCGGAGACACCACAAATCCAGGTTGTCGAGCATGTTGAGCTGCCGCTCCTTGATACTCGTCGCCCACGTCCGGTACCACTCCAACCCCCCTTCGAAAGCGGTGGTTCGCAGATGCCAATTGGTACAGGTCGCCCCAAATCAAAACCACGCTCTCAACACGACGAGGATGACGATACCTTCGCGTTCCTTCCTAAGGGTACGTCCTTGAGGGACCACGCCGAGCGCATCTATAGGAAAGCGACAAAGCCAATACAGCTAGGATCCAGTGCAATCGAGTCAGAAGCACGGACATCTATCACCTATCACAACAATTTAAGTATCTCCCAACGAAGAGCAATTATACAGCAAGTGTGCCGGCGGTTCACCCGGAATCTATAAGGAAACATGACAAG